CCTGGCTCACCTGTAAATCAGCACCTCATCGTCGGAGCAGTTGTACTGCAGCTGGTACATCTTCACCCGGGGCGCCGACTTGCTGACCGACCACTTGACCAGGGCCGAGGTGGTGGTCACATCAGACACAAGCACAGCCCGTTCCGGGGCGCTTTTGGGCGGCTCCCCGCCCTCGCTGCCTCCCCCTCCCCGGCTGGTCTTGCTGGAGCCGGTGATGTCCGAGAGGCGGGACTTGGGGGGCGCGGTGCGGCTGGTGCTGTTGCTGAGGTGGGGCAGCTGGACGATGGACACCTCCACGGTGGCCGTGGCCTCCCCGGCCGCGTTGGCCGCGATGCAGGTGAAGGCGCCGCTGTCCTGGGAGGTGGTGATGAAGATGTCCAGGGTGCCATTGTCGTACACGGCAGTCCTCGAGGAGTTCCCCACTAGGCGGTCATCCGGGGCCACCCAGTGGATGAGGGGGCCGGGGTCCCCAATGGCCTTGCACTTGAGCGTGGCCGCCTGGCCCTCCAGGACCAGCAGCCTGTGCGTGTGCTGGGTGATGAGCGGCGGCTCGCACACAAACTCCTCCTCGCGCACGTGCCAGAAGTAGCGGCCCTTGAGGCCCCCCGGGGACCCGCAGGTCTCCAGGTCATCCTCCCGCTCCAGCCTCCGCAGCCAGAGAAGCTCGCAGTTGCAGTGCAGCGGGTTCCCCCCAAAACTAAAGGACAAGAGCGGGGCGAAGGGCGTGGCGGCCAGAGCGGAGGCCTGGGCGCGGGCAAAGATGGGGTCCGGGGGCAGCTTCTGCAGCCGGTTGGAGGTGAGGTCCAGGCGAGCCAGTTTCTGCAGGTCGGCGAAGGTGCCCTCGGCGATGTGGTCCAGCAGGTTGTGGTCCAGGCTGAGCTGGTGCAGGTTGACCATGCGGCGCACGGAGCCCCAGGGCAGGCCGTGCAGGTTGTTGTAGGAGAGGTCCAGGTCCTCCAGCGTCAGCAGGAAGTCCTCGAAGGCCTCGTCGGCGATGCCGCCCAGCTGGTTGTTGTTCACGATGAGGTGCTGCAGGTTGACCAGGCCGCGCAGCGTGTCCTCCCCGAGGCTGGGCAGCCGGTTGCTGTCGAGGTGCAGGGAGCGGAGGCTCTCAAGGTCCAGGAAGGAGAAGGGCTGGATGTGGCTGATGGTGTTCCTGGACAGCGTCAGGTCCACCAGCCCCGTCATGTTGGCGAAGTCCTGGCGGCCGATGTGGATGATGAAGTTGCCGCCCAGGCGCAGCTCCACCGTCCTCCGGTCGATGTCAGGGGGCACGAAGAGCAGCCCCTTGGACGGGCACAGGGTCCCCAGCGACTCAGACAGGTTCTGGCAGACACAGTACTTGGGGCAGGCGTCAACCACGGCAAACGCCATGCCAAACGCCAGCAGGCCACCAAGCAGGGTCTCCATGGTCTGGTCACTCAGGCCGCAGCGCCTGGAAGGGAGGGACACAGGTCAGGGTCAGGGGGCAGCTTCCTAACGCCCCCGGCTAGAGCTTCCTCTCTCGCCCTAACCGCTGCAGCGGCATCTACTCATTGCAAGGTGTAATCTCTTCAACTCCCATCCCCCCAGTTCTACTTTTTCTTTTGTCCTTAGCTCCTGTCACCTTCTAAGGGACTATCGGGTGTCCTTGTTAGAAATGGTTATGGGGTGCTCCCTCTCCCCACTGGAATGTCAGCTCCACAAGGGCAGGTCCTCTTGTCTGTTCCAATCACTGCTATACCCCACGCATCTAGCACAGGGCCTGGGACACAGTAGGTGCTCAATATGCATTTGTTGGATGGATGGATAGATAATTCCATACTAGTGGTTCATTTGTGATCACTGGATTTGAAAAGTGTGTTACGGCTATACCAAAGCAGTTTTACCTTCTTAATTGGTTTAGACTCGGCATGAAATTAAATTGGACCAACGTTTTTAAGAACAAGGTTGTGGACCAGGAGAGACCTGGCCCTGAGAGACCCCAAGGTTAGTGGGGAACTGGCTTTGGATGAATTCTTCACCATGGAGAACCCATATAGTAGGTACGTCTTTGGAGTTCAGGGAAGTAGAGAGGGTGGTGGGACAGGAACTTCTGAGCACTTAGCAGGTGCCGGGTCCTCTGCCCGGAATTTCATCTATGTCATCTCATCTGGGCTTCAGGACCACCTCTCCCAGGGAAGGGCTAATTGTGTATAGACGAGGACTTGTCCATGGCCTAATAGCCTCTGCTAGGTCTTTACTCAAAAGCCACCTTCTCCCCCAGGCCCCACCAGGCCTGTGCATTCCCCTCTCCCTGCTTTGTGTGTTCTCCTTGACATTTAGCCCTATCTAACTACCATATATATTTTACCTACTTGTCTTATTTATTGTTTGTCTTTTTAAATTTTTAAAATTTTACCTTTTATTTATTTTTTGTTGCTGCAGCATAGTTTGTAATTGCAAAATACTAGAAACAACCTAAATGTCTATACACAGGAAAGTGCTTGAATAAATTATGCCACATTAGTACAATGGAATGTTATTCTGCTGGACAAAAGCATGAGGACAATCTCTGAGAACTGATGAGGGGTGATGTCTGTGACATACCACCCAAGCGGGAAAAATTCAAGTTCAGGAGAGCACATCCAGAATGACCGAGCAAGGGTTTCCTATCTTTCAATTAGAGTTGAAATACAATATTATATTAGTTTCAGGTGTATAATATAGTGATTAGACATTTGTACACCTTACACGGTGATCAACCTGATAAGTCTAGTACCCGTCGGACACAATATATAGTTATTACAGCATCATTGGCTATATTCCCTGTGTTGTACTTTACATCCTATTGTTTGTTTTTTGCACCAGCAACAAAGCCCCGGGAGGTTCAGACTTGTTTTCACTCACCATTATATTCCCAAACTCCAAAACACCCCCTGACACATAGTAGGTGTTTTTGCATGAATGAATATCTAGAAAAGGAAGGAATAGGGCTTTGGCTCAGGTCTATGTGCCTCCAAATCAGATAGTTTCCCCACTATCCGTGTTGTACTGACCGTGGCTCTATTTATGTAGTGCTCAGAATTACATCAACTGAGTTGAACTTTTGGAAAATCATTCACTCTGGTTGTACAGCATCACGCAGACCAGCAGCTCTCAAGTCACCTTCTAGGAGAGCTATTTAGAGTTCTGCAAGAAAGGCTTCTGAGGTCAGAGAGTTGGGGAAACGCTGCCGACTCTCATTCACTCTTGGAAAAGCTCTATACGCACTGGCAAGTTCAGAGGGTTGAGAAATTCTGCTGCAATGGGAAACTGTTAATGTTTAATTCTGCATTGCTGCCTTTTTCTGTTGTAGCTAAAGATACTCATTTTTCTGAGCAACAGCTATTAATATCTTGAGGAAGTAGAGCTCCATAGCTCCCACTTTGAGGCACACAGATACAGACAAAACAAATAGCTAATAAAACAAAGGTATGTTGTAAATTTAAAAACCTATTCCAATCCTGCTACCGTGTCTTTTTAGGGGTAAATCTCTCACCTGAGAGTCTTCAGGGCCAGAGACTTAGCCTGTATTTCATCTATAGAGAGTGTTATTTCTGAGCAGCACTGTCCAGTAGAAATATAATACCAGCCATAACTGTAATTGTAAATTTCCTAGTGGCCATATTTTTCAAAAAGTAAAAGGAAACAGGTGAAATCAATTTGGTTAATATATTTTATGTAAACCATCATATCCAAAATATGATTTCAACATGCAATTGACACAAACAATTCTTAAAGAAATGACTAGCATTGTTGCATTTGTACTACATCTTCAAAATAGGTGTGTATTTAACACTCAGCACATTTCAAGTGCTCATGCATGTTGGCCGCGCCCTTAGAGCAGGTGTTGGCTAACTACGGCTCGAGGGCCAAATCCAGCCTGCCACTGTTTTTATAATTAAAGTTTTCTTAGAACATGGCCATGCTCATTCATTTACATGCTGTCTATGGCTTTTTTCTCGCAGAGTTGAGGACTTCCAGCAAATACAATGTGGTCAATAAAGCCTAAAATATTTGCTATCTTGCCCTTTACAGAAAAGGCTGGCTGACTTCTGTTCTAGGAGATACTGGGTTTTTTCTTCATCTTCTTCATTAAGGTCACTTTCATTAAAATCCTTTGCCAGCGTGCCTAATTCCACATGGCTCTGCTATGGGCTCCTGGGAGCGGCCATCCGCCCTGCCAGTCCCTGCTCTCACCCACCTCCTATCTGAGAGACACCAGCCCCCCTGACCCAGGTCCCACCAGGAACATTCATCCCAGAGGCATCCACAAGTGGAAGCTTCCGCCCATCACCGCCTCCATGCCCAGGGGTGTCCTGGCCTCTGGGCTCACATTTAGCTGGGGCCTGAAAAAACAGACAGGGATCTTCTCCATTTGTATCGACCCTTTTCCTGTTTTTGAGCGCAAGAACAAGTCTTGGCAAGAGCTGGTCCTGCCCACTGGCCAGTTTATCTCTTACCACTCTGTCTCCCTTTGCTCATCCCACCCCAGCTACTCTCAACCTCTGTCTTATAAACCCATGCTTGCTGGCCCTCCGGGATTTCTGACATGCTCTGCTCTCCTCCTGGCTTCTCCCCACCTCCGCTCCTGCCCCGCCAAGCTCCTGTTCTATCTCTGGGTCTCAGCTGAAATACCACCTGCTCCAGGAAGCCTCCTCAAAACCTAGACCGAATCAGGCCGTCCTGCTATTTACCCTTAGCCCCCTGTACTTGCCCTACCTATCGATCATCACACTTTTAATTATAATTTCTTAATTACTTACCTGTCTGCCTTCCTAGTTTACAAACTCCAAAAGGCAGGGAACTTACCTGTCTTGTCGACCCTTCACTGTATCCCCAGTACCCAGCACCACACCTCACTCATAGTAAGTACCCAATCAATGTCAGTTGAATGAATGAAATACAGTACTAAGCAAAGTGAGTTCCTGGCATTGGCACTGAGGCTCGCGGTTCTGTCTCAACACCGTCCAGAGTTCATTTGGCTAATCATCTGGGAAAACCATCTCTACAGTAGATGCTTCCTAAGCATCGTCCGCCACCCATCTGCTGCACTTCCTAGCATGACTCACAAGGCAGTAGAGTCAGGAGGCATATTTCTCTGCCCCCTCCACCTGCTCAAGTAGAAGTGAGTAGCACCCTTACACCCACCGAAGACACAGGGCCAGGCACACCCAAGGAGGCCCCTTGCTGGTTAAGCTGGAGGTGGCTGTGTGCGTGTGTGCATGCACGCGTGTATTTGTGCATGTGTGTGTGTGTAGAGGAGGGTAGTGCTCTGAAAGCCCACGGCCCCGGGAGAAAGGTGCCTCCTTGTGCGCTCTTGTCAGCCAGCGCTTCCTGACATTTTCATTTCCTGACACAGGTAGGAAATGGTGATGCTTGTCGGGACAGCTGGCTCCAGGGCTGGGACTGTCAGAGGCATGTGCTGGGTGTCTTCTGCTTGTTTGTCCCTCCAGATCTTCTCTCCACCCTCCCGACCCTGCTCCGTGTCCTGGGAGGCTGCCAGTGTGAGCTGGTTCTGCACAATATGGATGCACTGCCCCACCTATGGCGTCCTGGGGCCTTTCCACCCTCAGGCCCGTCACCTGCCTCTTAGGCAGCTGAGGCAGTGGGCAAGCAGGGAGGCCCAGACACATTGCGATGCACACCCTGAACAGGGCCCATTGTTTTAAACAGTTTTGTCCTTGTAAATTGTGCTAAACAAATTACATTTAAAAAAGTTCGTGGCGGATTAGCAAACGTCTAATAAATTCAAATCTGTGACATAATAGAGCTGGGTAAATATGTTTTAAGTAATCAGCATGGAAGATTACTGACAGAGAAGTGACTATTGAATCTTAATTAAAATTGTATTCCGAGAACTGTCGCTTAAAATATTACTCTCACAGCCAAGAGAAAGTAGCTTAAAGCCTGAATTGGGAGGGGGTGAGGGGACTGGGTTGAAACTCATAACTGGTACAAATGGGCAGGGAGTCTCTCTTTTGAGCAGGAACCTAAGCAAAAGCTGGAAGGAGCCACCTTGTAGGTGCTGGAGCAAGGAGAGGTGGAGATTAGCAGGAGAGGGCTGGTGTCAGAAACAAAGAACCAGATAAAGGGGCAGGAGGGGCCACAGGATTAGTGGTGGGCAGAACTGAGAGAGGCCTGTGGGGATCAGAAGCCAGGCTGGGTCCAGCCGGTGTGGCTCAGCGGTTGAGTATCAATCTATGATCCAAGAGATTGCAGTTTGATTTCTTNAGGCTGGGTCCAGCCGGTGTGGCTCAGCGGTTGAGTATCAATCTATGATCTAAGAGATCGCAGTTTGATTCCCGTCAGGGCACATGCCCGGGGTTTCAGGCTCGATCCCCAGCAGGGGGCATGCAGGAGGCAGCTGATCAACGACTTTCTCTCACCATTGATGTTTCTATCTCTCT